AAAAAGGGTTAAGGGCCAAAAAAAAAAAAAAAAAAAAAGGCTGTAAAACACTCAAATCTATCAGTAAAACAATCCATCTCCCCTCAGTGTCATGCAACTTTTCATTGTTTCAGGTAAAGTTGATGGCAAGCGAAAGCTAGCAGCCCTAAAGTTACTCAGGTGTAAAGTCAACATGTCCACATCAACCAGATGCTGTTTACGTGACTGCTAGTGACTGCACGCATTTATCATGTGAATCATCTGATGACATCAAGGCAGAGGTGCTGAATCTACCTTTCTCTTCATGTTATTTTATTTATTTTTTAATAAAAGCAGCTATGGGAGCTGTTAAGTTTCTAAAGGCGTTTATGTAATATTTTTCACAACATACTCGTTTAAGAAAAAAAGTTCTTCATTTTTTCTTTCTTTACTACAAATACTAGTGGTGTTTTGGTCAAACAAATCAGTTTATTTTAACAAATTTGAAGGCAGGGAAAAATTTACCAAAGCAGCGCATACAGTACAACACTCACCCAAAAGACATACTTCAACATAAGCAAAGATTACTATAATATTTGAGTCAGAACGAGACTGGGTCTCATAAAACTGAATCTCATGAATGAACTAAATAAACTGGGACATTTTAATTGTGAACAAAATTAGCAAACGAGCGGTGTTGGATGAGGATCTACTGACCGACAATAACTGAACCAAAAGGGTATGCTGATCATTCCATTCGACACAAGCCAATCTTGTTTAACAAGGACAGTCCCAAGATAAGAATGTGTACAATGACTGAGGATGACAAAATTGAAATGTCTTAATACTGTTAGTATTTTTCATAGCTTGATAAAAGTAGTTGACAAAATGGAGTGGGGAAAAAAAAGTTTAAAAATCTACTTTAACACTATGCTATAGTGTTAAAACCATATTTCTCATGTCTTTAGATCTGTAGACATGCCAAATTTAATTAAGAATTATTAAATAAAAAAGAATTACATACTGGTGTAATTAAGGATACACTATAAAAATCACAGTTAATTTGATCAAAATTATAATCACGACTGTTCTCATTTAAGAAATTTCACATTTCATCAATTTTTTTTATGCAAGGACAATTCATGAGAATGTCAACTCATATGCAGTTTATTTTACATCATGTAGTTTCCTGAATTTATTCTATTCATCATATACACTAACACATGCTCTACATTAAGAAAACTTGTAAAACCTCAAGAAGCTGCTCTCAAAAGGAACAGTTAAAATTCCTAATATTCATTCCAATAATTCCAAATTATGTTAACTTTTTCTATTAAAACTACAAAAAGACCTATTGTAGCACAGAGGCTGCACACGTCCATTTATTCAGCAACCACAATTGCAATTTAGCCTCAGCAAATAGTGACTGATCAAATCATTGAACAAATATTTTTGTTGAACAGAAGCAAAAGATTCAAATCAATGGTATAAATCAAAATTGCCACTCCTAACAAATACTAGTTAAACCATAATTACTATGCAAGAAGCGAAGTACGCTATCTGCCCTCATGGAAAAGAAGAAATAAGCCTCAGATGAGAAAGCAAGCACTCAATTTATCTCCGCAAACAGAGGGCATTCAGGTTTCTCTCCGTCGGAAAGGAGAGCAAGAGAAACAAAATATAAGAGGTGTGCATATTGGAGAAACAAAACAGAAAGTGAGCAACACAAAAAGGGTGCAGTGTATTCTGCAGCCTCTTTCGCGCTCTCTTTTTCTGACTCTATGCTTCGCTCTCCCACACAAGTTGATCCACAATCTGACTCCGTGCTGAATTAATCACAACCTCTCCTACACAGTGGCCCGATCACACATACAAAACGAATCGCCACACCACACCAGCCACCTGCCTCAAAAACTACAGGAGATGCTGTTCTGCAGTGCTCGACACTGATCCAATCCACCGAATGTTAATCTCCACACGCTCGAGCACGCATCTGTATACATCATGCGCTGTGATGAGGCCGGTTAAAGTGCACACTTACAGGCAAGAGCGATCAGAGGTGCAATGGAGAGGTCGTTTCCTCAGCAATGCAGGGAGGGAGACAAACAACTTAACTGTCAGCAGCACAAGGAGTGCCCACTACACTTCTGTACCATCCCTCTCTCTCTCTCTCGCTCTCGCTCTCTCTGGATTTGTATGGAACGTGTTGACGCAGCACATGCCGGGAATGATATTGACAGTCTTGAGGCTACTGACAGCTCACTGTGGAAATGTTTTCAGAGATTTCATTTTAAAACCATAAAAGATATCAATAGCATCAGTTTAAAGGGACAGTTCTGCCAAAAATGAATGTCATGCCAAATCAACAGGTTTGTGCACCAATCACAAATTAATTGATGACTTTTTAAATTGCAATTCAGATCCAAAATGAGTTTGAAAAAGCAATTCATTCCAAAATGAGGTAGTAAAAAGGATAAAGAACAGCAATTCAAACGTAACTTGAATGCAAGGAGGTAGAATTCAAATTAATTGAAATGCAAAGCCTATGACTGTAACTGTAACTGTGACAATCTACTGATTGTCTACTTACAATCGCTTTTTTTTTTTTCTTAATCTCCAGAAAACGTCACCGGCATAGTCCAATCTCTTTCGATATCACAAAAGTCATTACATTTGTGACAGATTTAGCATGCTAATTCAATCCCAGTTTCCCATGACATTAGCCTGTCACTCTGCCAAAGGCCCAGCAGCACGAGTCGGTCCAGATAAGCGTCTGTCCGCTTATGTAATGCTCGGGCTCAATGGCACAGCCAGCTGCCTGTCCGATGGCCTGGAAACAGTCCTACTGTGACCGAGTGTTGCACTCAATTTCAGGTTTGTAAGACAGAAGGTGACTGAACAGCAGAAATACCCTCTGAAAAGTGCTTTCTTTTTTTTTTTGGTTCCCGACTTATAAAGTCATTAGTTCTGCACCAATATTACTAGTGTAAATGTAAATGCTGTTAAACAAACTAGTGAATAATGTAAAAACTCAAACGGTGTGCAATTATTCATAAGTATGTGTATTGTGTAGTTCAAATCTTCATCCAGTGTCAGTCAATATTGCAGTGCACACAGTTGTTTACTCCTACTTTCTTTAAAGGATAGTTCACTCAAAAATTCTGTCAGCATCTACAGTACACACCCTCATGTTATTCCAATCCTGTATGACTTTCTTCTGTGGGACACAAAAGATATTTTGAAGAACGTTTCAACTGTCCATACAATGAAACTCAATGGGGTCCAAAGAACACTAGAACTTAGAAACAAAATAAATATGACAGTGACATAATTTTCATTCTTAAGTGAACTGTTCCTTTCAAATATATTAATTACAATAAACTGTGGTCTATTTAGAGCACACGCACCAACATACAGTCTTAAAAACTGTTTTTGCATGCAAACACACTCTCTTGATTGACAGTTTTCCAAACAGCCAGCATGGGGGCTGTGGAAACTGTCTTCTACAGTAGATCCTCAGCTATGCAGTAAAAGAGCCCTCAGGCTTGTACTTACTGTCTCTGCAGAGAGCTTCCCAAACTGGTAGCGGTGCCGTCTCGTTCCCTGTCTCGGTTCCTCTCTTGCTCCGTGGCATTGGCTCCAGCTGACAGGCTTTGGACAAGCCTCATGTGAGTGTTGGCATTGATACGACGGTCCCGTGGTGGCACGGGTGGTGGCACGGGTGGTGGTGGGGGCGGGGGAGCCGGAGCCGGGATGGGTATCGGGATGGGCCCGCTGTTGTGAGTCTGATAAGCATAGACTTTGGCGGAGGTTGCAGCGTTGGAAGTGGGTGGCTGGATGGGGTGGACGGGAGGTGGGGGCGGGCAGGGCTGTCGGTCCAACCTCAGGTCTTTGTTCTCCTGGCTGAGCCGGTCCAGCTGCACTTCAAGCTCCTCAATGCGCCGCCGTTGAGTTTCCAGAAGCTTCTGTTGGCTTTCGATGATGTTGTTAAGCTCCAGCAGGTACTCCACTGCCCGGTTAGGACTTTCCGGGCTGCCCTGCCCAGCATCCATGCTCATGGACACCTGCGTGACAGTCACCGTCTGCCGGGACAAGCTTCTGGGATCACCCCGTAAGAGGAAGCTCTCCCCCCCCCCACACGTGGAGCGGGTGGGGGGGAGAGATGGAAATGTGTTGGAGTTAGAGTTGGGTAACCAAGCTAAAATAGTCAGTGGTTTTAATCTGAGATACCCTCAAAGTTAAATTCAGTTTTGGAAGTCACAGTACTGGAAAGGGATGAAGAAATTCCATATTGGGAATTTGTTTTCACATTCAAAGGATGATGATAATGTTAATTTGTTTGTTGGTTTACGATGGGTGTGAGCATGTGTGTGTACGTGTGCATTGCTATTCTTCCATCAAGCATGCCATTTTTCCACTGCCACCAAGGAATCGTGGAATTGAGATCAAAGTCAGTTTGCAGAAATGAACTTCATCAGTCATTCAGCCAGATGTTACTCATTTGGTAATAAAAATGAACAAAAAACTAATTTGATAAGAGTCACAGGACATTCCAAGCACCTCAAGTCCAAGGTAAGGATGCGACACAAAAAGCCAAGTCAGCAAATATCCTTTAAACAGGAAGGAAAGCCGATTTCCTTTTCGCCCATTTCTCTGGTGTGCATCCTCTTCCGTTTCTCTTTCAAATGTGGAGTTGAAGCACTGCAGCTGTTTTCTGGCAGTCTATTCATGACTCATATTCCAGACTGAAGTGTTTGGGAGACATTTTCGTCAGGAGTCATTCTATTCCAGAGGCGATTGAGATGGAAAGGTAGAGAGAGACGGACCAAAGTTCTTCTGATAAATCCACTGCAATACTAAATTGGCTTCTGGGAGGTGTGCGCATGTCTTTCAGAACAACCCAGTTTCCCCCTTCTCTCTTCTTTGCACCTTCATTACAAAACCAAGATCTCTTCATTCAAGCCATGAATATAGCTGATCATTATGCAACTTAAGATGGAATAAAATTTCCCACGCATGATGCATTTCAACTCATTGCAAAGTCCGTTCAACACAATATTTGGTTATTTCATAACACACTATTTCTTTGCACATTCATTCCATTATTTCTAACCCTAATTTCACTTCAGTGTAAAATAATCACATCTATCATTAAGGTTTCATGCACGCATTTGTCGTTTACTCACGAGCGGTTTCACACTTATTGCCCAGACGGTCCTTGAAGACAATCGCGCATCTCCAACGCGTACAGCTGCGCGATGAGGCGATGTGTAGAACGCGTCCCAAAGCGATGGCATCGAAGTCGATTACATCTCCAAATTAGACGTTCTAACGCAAAAAAATCGGGGATTTTTATGAGTTTTAAACGAACAAATTATTATTGGTCTTCTGTTGCGGTTGCTCGCAACGCGTTCCTCCCCATCAACTAAATTTCGAGAGGAAATACAATCCTTGCAGCAGGATGTCCACTGCTTGTAGTTTTATATGTCGCTTTCTGTAATCAGCGCAAAGGCGCTCCGGTCCTGAAACAGCTGAGACGCGCAATACAGCGTCCGCGTGCTCGTCCACACAGTGTCAAGCCGATGCGCGCGAGATCATTAAATAACACCCGTGCTGATGGAGCACAGCTGTTACTATCATTTTTAATACAATTTATGAAGACTGCGTTGCATGACAACTAATTAAACTACCCAATACGGTTGTGTCTCCCAGTATGTGACAGATGTCATTGATGCCAGTGACTAAAGATATTCGTTCATGAATGAACTGCTCACATGTTGAACGGGCATGCATTCCCTTCTGATGCTCCCTGGACAGCCATGCACCTGCCGCCCCTCGCCGCCATTCGGTTTCACCGCAGTGTCCACATCAGTCTCGATCGCTAGTTTCGCTGCATGTCGATGATGCCCAGCGCCTCTCGTCGTGGTAAAGTGTGATGCAGGGGTTAAATTCATTTGAGTGAGTCAGAGAGAATATATATATTTTTCTTTTCAATCGAAGCTCTGACGTTAGTCCGAGCGTGTAGCGGTAGAGGAACATGCCAGAGAAACTGTGTCCTTGTGGTCGGCCATTTTGGAACGCGGTAACATTTATTTCGACGGGCGAGTGGCTTCTTGCGCTGAGCCAAAATGAGTGCAGTTTCTCTCGCTCTCTCTTTCTCTCTCTCTCCCCTACACATACACCTCAAGATTCAAACAGAAGGCTGTGTGGTGCATTTAATCTGCAGAAAAAGCAAGCCAGCATAGATTTACACATTGAGGCACTGTTGCTCATTCAGTGCAGTCCAAATTAAAATTTCAGTCAGCAACAGGTAGCCTACATTAAAAAACAACAACAACAGGCTTTGAACGGTTAATGTGAGCGTAAAATGATGACAGTGCCTAATATGAATATTTTATTTGGTGTTATAATTTTCACTGCAGCAAAAACCGCGGACAAGTAGGCTAGCTTTCAGCTTTTACATCAATTTTAGGATGTTCCATGTGCTGAATCACTCTCATGCTCTCACTGCTTTCAGCACCCACATTTAACCATCCATTTTTTTTCTTACTTTCTTCCACCCACATGTCCTGCCCTCTCTTTCAGCTTAACTGTGTGTGAGTGAAAGGGATGTGCTAAGCACATGCAGGAAAAGGAGACCACTATGTTGTGGTTTACTTTACCATTAGGGCTTAATTTATCTATTTGAATAGCAATAAGAATGCAGTGATGCCACGTTAAGGGTATAAGTATGCTTCTGTCAACAGTTTCTCAATTGAATCCACCAATACAATGCAGTATGACATGCATAAACTCATGCTAGCTGTGTTGTACAACCTAGGGTGTGTCTCAATCAGCTCCCTAGTTCAGTAGTCAAGCGAGGCAGACATTTCAAAGACTGTTCCACTGTCAAAGTCAATCCAGTGATAAATTCCCACAAAAAAACTAGTAAGCATGATTCTCAAAAATGCTGTTTAGGTAGGCAGGTCACTGGTTTTTGAAGCCACTCTGCTGACTTCTGGGTCCAGGATTCATCTTTACCCATGGCATTCTGCGTCACTGATTCACCAGCTCATTCTATGCCCTCTTCTTAAAGTTCATGGAAAACGTGCTTGTGTGTGAGAGTCTGCGTCTGCACGGGTGAATTGGGCACGCTTCGCTCATATAGAGCATACTGATATCCACTGTTTATGTAAGAGGTGCATGCAGAGGAGAAAAGAATTTCAGAGGGGGAAAAAAACGATTGATGGAGAGAAATCCATTTAATTTCTTACACTCCCACACAGAATCCTTAATTATTCAACTGCATAATTCTTTGTGCATTTTGATTCATCTTCATTGTAAATTTATCTATCTATCCAAATGCAATCTTGAATGTAGTTTCACCCTCTTTTTTGGTATTCCTTTTCTTTTCATCCCCTTACATCCTTCATGTTTTTCATCTCTCTTGCGCTCTTTTATGTCTCTGACACCAGTCATAAAAAGAAAGTTGGAGAACATTGTGAAGATCTGAGCTTCAAAACTACTGTCATGTTTTCAACCCTCCCCATCTCTTCCTCTCTCTCCCCACAGGGCAGCCACAGCGTTTGTGCTCTCACACTGAGCTTTCTATTCCCTCTTAAATGCTTTAGGAACACTTCCTATTCTTTAACTATTCATTCACAAGAAGCAGCATGTTATATAAGGAGCTTCATCAACATGTCAAATCGGTTTTACAGTTGATCTGATATTTGCTCTGCAGAGCTGTGGTGGCTTTATGTGGTCTGGTCCAATTGTTGTCTCATTCTGACAGTGACATTAGCGCTTAGATAGCAGTGGCCGCGCTCCATTAAACAAAGGGCAGGAGGGAGGATTCGACATGGAACAATAGTTGGTTTGTAAAACTAATGAAGTCACATTCCAACATGTGCCGCAATTTTATCTTTTGTGCTTACAGAACTGAAGGCTATCATTAACGTCTGGATGGAAAGAGATGAGAGAACGAGTGTGTGTTTTCTTCAAGGTTGATGGCATCATATCGCACAGCACTTCACTAGAGACAAACCTGAGCTGTGACGTTATTAAACAGGGAAAACATCCATTTTACACTTTTACAAATCCTTCAAAATGAGAATAGGCACTGGTAGAACACCTACTGTAATATAATAAAGTTTAATTGATGAACAAGATATTAGCAAAATGGAAAAAAATGTAATTTTGTCAGAATACCCAGCAAATTGTGAGACATTAATGAAAGACACTTTTTAGATCCAGACAGAAATGATATCTGCCTTCCTCAATACCTGATCAACAGCCTAGCATGCTATCATGATATCTTATTCAAGATAATCAGTAACGAGCTTGGCTGCATATGAATATGCATACTTAGTATGGTGAAAACAGTAAAAAAAAAAAAAGTCTGAATTCACAGTATTCATAAAACAGTAAGCAAAAAGTACACAGACTGCTGTGACTTCCAGTGAGATTCTGAAGTGCAAATCAAATAGACATTTCATGCTATCCCATGAGGCCACAGCAGAGGAGCTCTGAAAAGCAGTGAAGAAATACAACTGACGCTGTAGGTCATAAGACAATGACAACATGACGGATCCAAAATTACTATATACAACATACTTTTTAAAGGCCGCAAAGCACTTGTACAGTACAAAATAAGTACCTACAGTACTCAGAAAGTATGCGATTTTGGATGCTGCCCATTAACCAGTAAGCGCTATGCTAATTTTGTAGGCTAAGCTGTTAGCGTGCTAAATAAAGAATGAACTTATCAAATAAGGAAAATGAAATTCTTAATATGACCATTTTAGCTATGTAATTTAAAAGATGTTTGTTATGATTAAGACTAACAATGTATTTCTAATCAGGCACTGAATAAAGCATGCTAACCAGCCAACTCCTGAAAATTGTAAATTGCAAATGGAAATAGGACATGAATTTACAATGGACTACAAAAACATTCTCATTTCTTAGGGTCCACCACCTGCCACTGACACACATACAATATCCAGGCTAACTGCATAATGCGCAACGTATCAGAGACGCTGTAATATACAGCCCTTGTGTACATGCACTTATCGCCGATTATACTTCATATATGAGTGACACAAACCCTCCTCGTCTCATCTGAAGCAGCCTGTAGCTTGCTGATTAAAAAGGTCAACATGACATTTCCCTGGTGCTCAACATCCAGCCCCCTTCTGCTTCCCTGAGCAGCACACATGAACGCCCCAGCAACTTGTCGGTTTTTCAGGCGTATGTTACATGCGCTCTAAAAATAAAGATGTCGTGATCTATCAGATGCATATTATTGACTCTTGTCAGCTGATACATGTTTAAATCGGGAGATAAAAAAAGAAATCTGCTTCTCAAAAATGACCAAATTCTCAATGTTATCTGAGTTTTCCCATATGCTGGGGCAAAATAGAGGGTGGAAGGATGAGGCACAGCAGCCCCTGTTCGCCCTCCCGTTTCATAGTTAACATGGTGTAGGGCATGGTGTATAATTAGTGAGAGCAATTAGAATAGAGAGAGAGAGAGAGAAGCCTTCTACTGTTATTCCCACAGGCCTGCTCGCACTCTGAAGTGACAAGTGTGATAATCATATTTTCAAATGTATTTTGATGAATGCTAGTATGTGCTTTTGGAACAAGACTCAGTAGAGAGAGAGAGGAAAAAAATAACAAATTTGTTCCAACTCATGCAGCTGCATGAGTACTGAACCTTTGATCATGTAAATTTGTATTGTGAATTAATGAGCACAACAGTTGTTGTTTTTTTCAAAACCTGGTGTGGTACCTAGATGTTTAGCATTTTTACAACAACATAAGTAGTTAATGTATCCTTCAGGGACTAGACCATTTTAGTATGTATACTCAATGAGTTAAGAAAAAATATTCAAGATGGTGGAGGACAGAAACGCAGAATATAAATACAGTTTATGTATATTTTACTTAACATACTAATAAAAATAGTTCAGTCAAATTAAAATACATTATTTGTACTGTATGATGTATGAAGTTTTTGTGCGTATAAAGTGATGTTGTTAGCTTGGCAACATTTGCTAATACCAAACTGTGGGCTAGTGGAGAGCTGTGTTTTTCATGTAAGGAGCACTATTTGTAACAAAAAAAGTTTGTCATTAAGAGTTGCTGTCTGTGTAGTGTATACACCTAGATATCACACTATAGAGACACTATATCCCACTATAGAGATTGTGTTTGTTCCCCGAACTAGAAAATACAAAAAACGTCCAAACCAATTTAAGAGTATTCCAAATCAGATTTTAATTTGTTAGGATGTTGTCTGAGGGGTCGTTTACACATAACACAGAGCTTTTCCTGTTGCTTTTCTATGTAAACGTGCTAGCTGGATGTGTTTAACCATTGTGTTTGAATCTTTTGCATCATCTTACAAATGGCACAGCGTTCTAAAAACAAATTAAAATTAAAAAGTTCAACTGCAAAAAACTGCCCATCATTTTGTTTTTATTAAATGCAAAAAGTGCATTCTACATGACTCAACCCTTAGGGGCCTTTCACACAGAAACATTTTTGCATGGCGTTGAAAAAAAAAATGGCACTCAACTTAAAATCAGTTAAACTTTTTAAAAATGTGTCTCAAGACCTTGTGTGTGTTTTTTATTCCACTGCCCTGCATCATGCATTTCATGGATTTAAACATGAAAACTGTACGAGGAGCCCCTTAGAATGTACTATATTTTCATATGTACAGTAGACACATGGTGAGGTACAGATCTTATGTGTCTGTGTATTGTAGGACCAAATGTTGTGTGATATTGAGAGATCAGTTTGATATTTTTCTTCAGTAGATGGTGAATATGTAGGATGCTGGATATTGTATGTGTAGGAGTTTATTCCCAAGCGGTTCCGTAATGTGTGCGAGTACTCGCCTGTTGAAATCCAGAGCCTTGAAATTCCAAGGGCACACGCTTCCTAGATGATTAGCGTGGTTCACGCTAGCAATCGCCAACAAAAAGCTTGACAGGTTTTTTCAGAGATAGGTACTTTCCATAGCAATTTAAAAGAAAATGTACTGCAGATTAATGAGTCAAACAGACATGTTGGAACACCGTTGAGAATTTAAAGAAAATTATTGGGAACATGGCATTAAAATCAAATTATCATCAGTAACCATATCTAATGATACTAATATATATTGCTGCTTAGAAAGGGAGATTTCAGAATTTTTCAGTGAAAATCTAATCTGTATTTTTATCCTTTTTTAAAGTATCACTATTAGCTTAGCAACATGCTAACAAACCAAACCC